CAGCGCCCCACTCTTAAGGAATACATAACGGCGACGCTAGCAACTTTGTTACTTAGGTTGGAATAAATTGAGACCCCCCCTAAATGAAAAAAAATCACTGCTGCAGATCCGTCTCCTGCGGATCCCCCCTTTTCCCCTCAGCTCACCTGCAGCCATACCGGCAAGTACTGCTCGTCCAGTCCCTCAGTCATGAACTTGACGTGGCCACCTGCAGAGAAACCCCCGTACGGCATGCGTCGTATACATACGGAATTGTACGATAGTGTACGGCACGAGGCTGTGCTGTGCTGTACAATGACGGCAGTCTAGCTGGACAGAACGGCGTGCACCTTGGTCCCAGCGCGCCCGCAGCCTTCGGTGTCTGGTATGCTGAACCCAGGAATGGATTATGGTGGTCCTTCTTCAAGGGACTTCAAGGTTCCAACCGGGCCCGTGGGCACCCGCGTTGTGGTTGGGTTGCGTTGCGTACGGGTCCTTTTAATCCCCCTCTTGAACCCCCCCTGGAGTAACCCGCAACCGCCGGGCTACAACGCATCTGAGGCATACACACATACAAACACACACGCTACTGCTGGTGGCACCGCCAGTCGGTACCGGCACCAGAAACACACCAGCCCTCCCCGCGCACTCCCAACCCGGGGGGACCTTCATCCAAACGTTTCCCAAGGGAAGCCAAAAGCCGCTACGGGGCAACAGATACGCGGGGCCCAGCGCTCCCCAACAAGACTGCTGCTCCCAAAGGCGCATGCTGCTGCATGTAGGACTGTGGAGGGGCATCAGGGTCGCCCGCCCAACCGCGAACCAACCGACCAAGCGGCCAACCAACCAACCGCCTGCTCACCGCGGGGCCAGGCGTTGGACGTTATGTTGGTGTTGTGGCAGTACCTGGGGGAGTGCGAAGGGGGAGAGGTAGTTGGTGGTCATTTGCCCAGACACGGACCATCACCGAAACACACACGCCTTCTACTGGCTTCATGCCTCATCCCTTCTATGCCTTCATACGCATCCTACGCATCCTACGCATCCTACGCATCCTACGCATTCTACGCATTCTACGCATGCTACGCTTTTTTTGCCTCCATACGCTTTCTTCGCTTTCTGTGCCTTCCGTCTTGCTTGCCTTGCCTTCACGTGCACCGCCCCCCTCAATAACGCGGCCCTGTGCCCCTGGCGCGGGTTAGCCCGCAGCTCTCCTAGGTGTTTGGTCTTAGCTGGTCTAAGAAACATACATCCATAATGCATATGGACATACATACGTGCTTGCGCCTTCCAGACACCGATTTATACATAACCGACACACATACATACATACACACACATACCTTCCTGTGAGGAAGCTGGTCCTGCTGGGGCAGCAACTGGCCACGGACGTAATGAAGTGCTGCACCTCCAAACCTGAACCAGGGATTGCAACAGGGCGATGGTTGTAACCGTAACCGTAACCGTACCTGCAACCATAACTGTTCTGTAAATCCCCCCCGAAAAGGGGAGCTCTTCGCCAACGCGCCGACTGCAAGTCTGATGAAACCGGACTCACTACACATACCTTACCCTTACCCTTACCCCTGGCATTATTACCACCAGCAGTAGCAGTAGCAGTAGCAGCAGCAGTAGCAGCAGTAGCATGGCAGCAGTAGCAGTAGCAGCAGTAGCACTAATATGGTCCCCACTGCTCCCGTGAACACACTTGTCCCGACGGAAGCACCCGCCGCCCGCCGCACGCACACCACTTCACAGGTACCTGCTCGAGCGCGCTGCACATTGACGTAATAGCCCCTGCTCCTCCAACTGCCCGCACACACACCTCCCAGGTCCACCCCATCATGGGGCATCGTCCCAACCCCGCGCTGCTGCCGACTAAGCGGCCACTAGCATATGTCCACTTAGTGATGTACCCAGGGAGGGTACCCATTATCCTTCCTCCCACCTGTGCTTCGTACCCCGTTGCCACAGCGACCCCGACCCCTCTGCCGAAACGCCACCACCGGCTGTGGGAGCGACCCCCCGCCGTGTCCGCCGCCATTGACCTCCGGCGTGCTTACTAGGGCTTTCCCGCGCACTGCTGCAGCGGCAAGCCCAGCTTATACCTGGAATCTGTTTAGCCTTTAGTCCTTTTACCTCAGGTCATAACTCCCGTTGCCTGGAATCCAGAGCTTTACGTCGCCTAGGGGGGACGCCGGCGGCGAGCCACCGAAAGCGCCATTCCGGACAGCGCCGTCGGAAAAGCCGTAGGTCAGTCTGACTCGACCTCGGTCCCCCATACACACACGCGTCCCCCTCTCTAGTTTGGGTGCGTGGCGTGCTGCTCGTACTATACGACATGACCTACGTGGGTACGGCACCCCGTTCCTCTCCTCCTCCATCACACCCTTGTACCCCACACCCTTTCTCCGCCAAATGACGCGCCGTTGAGTTGTTCTCCCCGCCACGCCAAAACCCCTCTCATGTCAGGAATTATAAGGCCCATGAAGAACGCCCTAGCGCCCCGGTGGCGTGTTCATGGCGTCGTGGCCTCATGCCCCTCTTACCGCGCAACCTGATCAGGCGGTGGAGCTGAGGCATGTAGCGAGGGTGGGTGGAGTTGAGCAGGTAGTCCTGGTCATCCTGGAGAGAGGGGGAGGGAGGGAGGGAGAGGGGGAGGGAGGGAGGGAGAGGGGGAGGGAGGGAGGGAGGGGGAGGGAGGGAGGGAGGTAGGGAGGGAGGGAGGGAGGGGGACGCGTGCGTGTATGGGGGAGAGGGAGGAAGGAAGGGATGGATAAATTATCATACGCGTCATGTAAGATATATCGACCGCCGACGGCCCAAGTATCAACTTGGGGATGGGGGAGCGGGGAGGCGCAGGAGGGTAGAGGGGCCCGAAAATGACTGCGGTACCGGCAGCAGGGGCGTGTGCGGCCGTACTGCGCGGTAACGAAGCACGGTTCGTGCTATGAGGGCTACGGAGCCACCGGAGCAGCAGCGGGCACCTCGCGGACCAACACTAGTGTCGTGTGAGTTGGGAAGGTTGGCTTGCCTTTCGGGGCATGTGTGTGGCTTATGTGGTGGTTGGAGGGGGAAGGGGGTTGGTATATATGTATGTGTGTGTGTGTGTTGTGACGAGATTATCATGATGGGAGAGGGACTGATGGGGGGAGCGCCGACTTCCTTGCACTCAGTACGTTGGGATGTGTGATAAGCTTTAACCGTTAGCTGTACGACGGAATGTAGGACATGTGCATCAAAATCGCTGCCTTTCGTGCAGTTTGCGTATAATACATAAATAATTATTAATATTGGTATTCCTTATCAAGTTTCCTTAATCGTGACGGCGGGGGCTGCATCCGGCGCTGCAGGCAGTAAGTCTGGAGAGGCCGTTCGGACCGGGCGCAGGCCAGTATGACCTGGGATTCCTCCCGCCGGGTGCTTGACGTGCTTATATAATCCCACTAGTCACAAAATATCAAGATAATTATTTTATAAATTGCCTTCAATAACAGAAAACAACTCTCACACGACAGAACGCAAAACCAGATGCGCTGGCAACTACTTTCGCAACGTAACCTAGCAATCCTTGGTCCAGGCTTACCGTCATAATAACAACTATATTTGGATTTTCCACGGCTGATGCAACCAAATGACGAACCCACAATAACCACATTGCCACACGGAGCAGGACATTTGGCCTGACCCTGCGCGACGCTGCATACGCGGCAAATCGGCTTGGGTTCAAGGACTGGCAATCTCGTTTATAGTATTGCATGTTACTCTTTCGAGGTCATAATCCGCGTTGACGGAAGTCAATGCTCCCTACGCGGCCTACTATATGTGTTAATGAGTAAATTTAAATTTCGCTGGCGCAGTAGGCGATGAGTAGACTAATGTCAATGTCAATGGCCCACAATCTCTGCCACAGTATGAAACGCTACTGCAAATCTCCGTTGGGCCTTTAACCGCAAACTGCCCGATTTCAGCCAATATCAAAGCTCTACAGACGCATATCACACTCCAGTATCAGCGTTACAAGCTCATTATGGACTTCTGCAAGCGACCCACGAAGCTGACACTCTGCGCATGTACCCTCAACACAAAAGTGTTGCAAGAAGGTGTTCGCAGTCCTCGCTTACGCATAAAGTTTAAGATATTTTCAAAGCGCACCCTGCGTCTACACGCAACGCAGGCATCTTCCAACAGCGTGTTGACACATAGTTCATTCAGTAATTTATGTGCGAGTCATCGGATTTAAAGCAGACAGCGCCGCAGACAGAGTGCAACGTTTGTTCTGTCCAAGTATAGCAATGAATTCCCCTCTTTAGATGAATTTCATGTGTGTATTGTTTGGCGATCGCCATGTTTCGGAGCTGTGTACTGTCTGCCGGTACAGGTGCTCCGGGATGCCCTGTCCTAGAGATCCCTCGTGCGTGCGCCATTCTGCAATTACGGACGCATAGAGAATTGCCTTTCTTGCACGCAGCACACACTCCTGGCTTACCCAAACCTTTCCTTGCGTTGCCTCGACCGCATCCTTTCGTTTCAACGCCACATCGCAAATAGGCTAACCTAATAGCAAGCTTGCCACGATGCAGTGCCAACAAAATATTCAAAAACCAAACACCTTACCTTGCAGCTACCCTGGCGGACCAGTTTTGTCAGCCGCAGCCATCGCGCATCGAGGTCGCAGCAAGCTGGTGGTCCGCGCTTCAAAGGTTCCCGCAGACCAACTGCTGGGTGTCGCCAAAAAAGCAGCCCTCCTGGGAGCAGAGGTGGGCGGGGTGCTGCAGGAAGGCTCCCGCTCCCCCTAATGTATGTTTGTATGCTTGTACCTGTGTGTCTATGTCTGTGTATATGTATGCCTATGATTGCGAGAGAGGGAGCGAGAGTGACATAAAAGGGTCGGGTAACTCACTCAGAGGCAGGCTTAAGAAGAACGCCGGGCGCTTCCAAGCTGTGGAGCTGTAGTGCCTTCGCAGGGTTACATGTATGTATGTATGTTTATATGTACGTGTGTGGGCCCGAGGGAGGGAGGGAGGGAGGGAGGGAGGGAGGGAAGGTCATGACCTGTCAAAAACCCTTCCCCAAACCCTCAAACCCGGGTTCACCCATTTCTCCACCACCACCACCACCACCACCACGCCCCCCAACTGACGTACAGGTGGTAATGTCCGCTCTGGATAAGCCCAGGTCCATTTCCAGGAAGGAGGGTACCGATATCGGTATGTATGTATGTATGTATGTATGTATGGGGGGAAAGCGGGGTGAGGGGCTAGTTGGGCTCGTTGGTGTTGGTGTCATAACCCTGGAAAGCGGGAAGAGAGGTCGAGAGGGGGACGGGGGGGGATTGACCGTGTGGTTGGGCGGTTGACCCATGTGGGGGCATCTGGCAGTACCTGGCCGTACATCAGAGGTCAGCATCCAACCCTTTCAATCATTACCCACCGACACACACACACACACACCCTCCCTCCGGGGCCCCCCCACACCACCACCACGACCGGTTTCCCCCTCCTTTTCCCGCCTTCTCTGCTTTGCCAGTCAGCACACTGCGCGTACCATGAATGCACCAATTTAAAAAACCTGACTAAGCAAGCAAACACATCCTTACGTAGACACCCTCTACTTCCTGAGCCCCCCGGACCTCCCATTTCCCACACGCCTACCATACACATATACACACACAGACACACACACACACGCACACCCCTCCCGCTCCCCCCCCTCTCCCCCCGGCAGTGACGGAGACCGACAAGGCGAGCGAGGGGGTGGTGGTGGGGGCCATCCGAGCCGCATTCCCTGACCATGCCGTACTGGGGGAGGAGGGCGGCGTACTCGGAGACGTCAGAAGTGACTACCTGTGGTGTGTGTGTGTGTGTGTGTGTGTGTTTGGGTGGGGGATGGGGGTGTGTGTTTGAGGGGGGAATGGGGGGGTAAGGACGATTCCCCTCTGGATAGGGGGAGTTAGGGGTGGGAGGAAAATGGGGAAAATGGGTTGGGGTAGAAGGTGGGCCCCTGACCGAAACCCCGCAACCAACATTGGAGCTTATCTAATACATCCCTTCCAGTGCCCTTCATTCGGCCATTACTGCGGACCTACCCCTCGCCCCAAACCCCCACACCTCCAGCCCACCTACCCCCCCACCTACCCCCCCCACCTTCCCCCCACCTACCCCCCGCTAAGGTGTGTGGACCCGCTAGACGGCACCGTCAACTTCGCGCACGGCTACCCCTCCTTCTGCGTGTCAGTGGGGGTGGTACGACATGCCACTCCCGTAGCCGGGTGTGTGGTGGAGTTCCTTCCAACACCCCCGGGCGCGAGTGGCGGTGCGGGCTGGACCACCCGCACCTTCACGGCTGCTCGCAACGGGGGGGCGTTTGTGGAGGGGGGGCAGCAGATCTTCGTGAGCCGGGTGAAGGAGCTGCGGGACGCGCTGGTGGTGGGTTTGGGGGGGCGGGACCGGGGAGGGGGGAGCGGGCAGTTTTTTCGTGTGTGTGTGTGTGTGTGTGTGTATTGTGAGGCGGGAGATAAAAAGGTGAAGAGGATGAGGTTGGGGGGTTGGGGGGTAGGTGAGAATGAAATCGCATCTCCTTACACAAGCCGCCGTTTCGCCCTTTCCCGCTGTGTTGTGAAACCCTCTCTCCCGCACGCACGCACGCACGCACAGACACACACACAGACATACACACACAGACACACGCACACACACACAGATGCACACACACGCACGCACGCACAAAAAAAACGCTGTCCTTTTGCACCCGGTGCAGCACCTTATCCCCAGACCCCGCATTCCCCCCCCCCCCCCCGCCTTCAG